ACCGGCCCCCCCCCTCTGGGGAGCCCGTTCCCTTACGGGGAGCCCTCCACTGGGGAGCCGGGTCCCTTACGGGGAGCCCTCCACTGGGGAGCCGGGTCCCTTACGGGGAGCCCTCCACTGGGGAGCCGGGTCCCTTACGGGGAGCCCTCCACTGGGGAGCCGGGTCCCTTACGGGGAGCCCTCCACTGGGGAGCCGGGTCCCTTACGGGGGGCCCTCCACTGGGGAGCCGGGTCCCTTACGGGGAGCCCTCCACTGGGGAGCTGGGTCCCTTACGGGGAGCCCTCCACTGGGGAGCCGGGTCCCTTACGGGGAGCCTTCAGGCTGCAGGAGCTGGCCCATGGTGGTGGGTGTGGGGAGTCCGGGAAGAAGCTGCCTCCCGCAGTGGGGGCTGTGGTGCTGGCCGAGGGGTGTTGCTCGGGGGTTTGAGGCCACCTTGAGGCCTTCACCGGCAGGGCCCCACCTGGCATGTCAGAACTGTCCAGACCCGGAGCTTGTGCAGGGCCTGTGGGAGCCCTGCTGCACCCAGAAGGCTCCGAGACTCAGGCCAGGGAACAGGTGCCTGCAAGCTGGTGCCCAGGCGGGCTTAGAAGTCCTTCCCTGGGGGACCAGCAGGTGGCGTGGTGGTTAAAGGTGCTGCACTCCCACATGGCCGACCACGGTTCCAGTCCTGGGCCTGGTGGCTTGCTTTCTCCCTTTCCTTCTCTCTCTCTAGTCAAACTGGAAAATAATAAAGTTAAATAATAATAATTATTTTTTTAAAAAGAAGTCCTTCTTTGGGGGCCGGCAGGTGGTGTAGCGGTTAAGGCACTGGACTCTCATGTAGTCGGCCATGGTTTGAGTCCCAGACCTGGCAGCTGAAAAAACGCACCAGGCAAGTGTGCGCACGCACCCAACAATCCCGAGAAGACAGTGAAGGGATTGCAGTGTGGCCATCCTCCCTGGGGAGTGATTTCTCACTTTCTATCTCGGAGACACACACCCTGGTGCTTGCCGAAATCCCAGAAGGAGGGGATGGAGGAGAAGGAATTGCGGTGTGGCCGTCCCCCCAGGGGTGCTTTCTCACCTCCCATCTGCCTCGTCAAGTCACAGAAGAGGCCCTGGCTTCTCTGTCTGTGTGTGCAAACCTAGGCCTCCAGCGTGAGGAGGTGGGTCCCATGGCGGAGGTGTCGGGCCAGCTCAGGGTCCCACCTGCCACCTGCACAGTTCAGAGCCCGGCCCTGGCTATTGAAAACACAGGGCGCCTGTGCCTGAGCGCCCCAAATCCCGAGGGTGAAGGAGGGATTGTGACCAGCCCCGTGGGGTGCTCTCTCTGCCTCTGTCTCTGGAGTTCCATGCCCTCCGGCAGCTTATTCTTTTAAAGATATTTTGCTGTATGTGCGTGCACTCGCCTGAGAGACAGAGAGACACCCCCCTGGGGGCATGGCCACCCCGCAGCCCCTTCCCCGCTCTCCTCTTGGGATCTTGGGCGCACGTGCACGCGGTGTGAGGGTTAAGTCCCGGGCCCAGGACTCACACCGTGGCTGACTCCGTGGGAGTGGAGGGACATAACCCTTATGCCATCTGCAGGCCCCGCCCTCTGCAATCGAAGAAGGGGAGGAGGTTTCAGAAAACCCCCAGGCTGACAAGAGCTTGGGTTTTTCCTCTGGGGACTCTTAGGCATTTCCCAGCTGAGCAGGCCCCGGCCTCCGGGAATTTCGGGGCTGAGACAGCGTCCCCCAGAAAGGCGAGCGGACGCGGAAAGGGACCCTGAGCGTCTGCAGATAGGCCGGGCACGCCCCACTGCGCCCAGGGAAACCTGCGCTGCCGTTTTCTTAGGGGCTGTCCCGAAGAAATCTCTGGAACCATGGCGGCATCTCCCTTTTTCCTGTTGAGGTTTTTAGTATTTTTTAAATTGATATTTTAGATTTTTGCCATACCGCACATGTACTTGCCAGAGAGACAGAGAGCGAGACAGTGAGAAATCCCCCCAGGGGTGGCCACGCACCCGTCCTTCGCTGTCCTCGTGGGGCCCAGGTCACGCACACACATGCGCCCAGCCTGAGTTTCTTCTCTTTACAGAGTGCTGGGGCTGGCGGGTGGCGTGGGGGTGAGGTGCTGGGTCCCCACGTGGCGTGTGGTTCGAGTCCTAGACCTGGGGGCTTGCCTTTCTCACTTTCCTCCTCTGTCTCTCTCTGGTCAAATTGAATAACAACGTAACGAATAAAATTAAAACAATAATTTAGAGAAGAATTATCTTAGGGACCAGCAGAGGGTGTAACGGTTGTCACTGGACGTAGTTGGCCATTGGGTCCCAGACTTGGTGGCTCGGAGCCATGCCAGGGCGCATAGGTGTGTGTGCGCACAAGGTCCGGAGAGAGCAGAGCAGGGGCGTGGCCACCCCCTGGGGCTATTTCTCACCTTCTGTCTCTCTCTCTGTCTTTCCAGCAAACACATGCGCCCTATAGAAAAAATCAGAAGAAAAATAAGTCAGGACCAGCAGATGGCATAACAGTTACCTTGCTGGACTCCCACGTAGGCGGCCATGGTTCGAGTCCCAGACCTGGTGGCTTAAAGCTCATGCCAGGTACGTGTGCGTGTGCGCCCAAGATTGCAAGAGGATAATGGAGACGGGACTGTAGCTGGTCTGTCCCCCCGGGGGGTGATTTCTCGCTTTCTGTCTCTGTCTTTCCAAGGAGCGCGTGTGCCCTACAGCAAAAACCTCTAAAATATGTATGTATGCATTTATTTTTTTATTTTTGTTGTGTTTCCATGGCACGGCTGGCAGGGAGGGGGACCTGCATCCCCTCCCAGAGGGGCTCCGGCCCACACTCCCCCCAGGGCCCTGTGGGCCCTGGGCTGGACCGGCCTCTGTGGGCCCTGCAGGTGCTGAGCAGCATCCCTGGTCCCACCTGCTCCATGCCGTGACCCCCGCAGATGTCCTCGGACACCGCGCAGTGTCCTCGGGGCCAGGCAGGACTCACAGGAGAAGGTGGTGGCCAGGGTGCGAGCAGGGCAAGGCCCAGATCCTGGCCCCTGGGGACAAAGCCGGGTTGGGCTGGGTTCAGGCAGTGGGCCCAAGTGCCCCCAGGGTCAGGCCCACACGGGTGCCCAGGCCAGCTCTGCCCGGGCTGTGGCCTTCTGGTTTCAGAGCTGCAGCCCGGGCGGCCAGGCCGGACGAGGGGGGCGGGGGCCGCCCCGGCCCCCCACAA